GGGGAGGATGTGAATGTCGCAAGTCCTCGGTATACTTACGAGGATTATGCTGTCCACTTGGTTCCACCGCTGGACCAACCGCTCCACGTGCAACAGTCCACCGCATGCACGGTTTCATCACCATCGGCAACCGATTCGGCAGCTTTGCCGCAACCTATCGCCGGGGATTCGACGTCATGGTCAAGACTTGAAGAGCTCGACCCATTGACGTTCACGGACTTCCACTGGATGCCCGTTCCCTCGACTGGACGATTGCCGAAACCGAATTGCAACGTGCTTATGGCACAATTGCGGGACTACTTGCACACTGCAGTACCAGCTCCGTTGATGGACGTCGGAGCAGAGGTTGTCGACCTTCTCGCGTATATCGCGAATATCGACCGCGAGTTCAAGACGCAACAGTACGACGACATCGACGCACCATTGCTATACGTACGCATTCAAATCGGAGAGGCGACCTGCAGTGCCTTGATCGATTGCGGAGCATCTCGCAACTACATCAGCCAGGACTTCATGGTACGCACCGGCGTTGGCCCACGTGTCCGGAGGAAGTCCCAGCCTACGCAAGTCACTCTGGCAGACGGTCATACGCACAAGTCCATCGACCGGTGCATTGACGCCGTCCCAGTGTACTTTGCCGCTCACGCAAGTGAGGCGGTGTCCTTTGACATTCTGGACACCAAATTCGACATGATCTTGGGCATGTCATGGCTGCGAAGCAAGGATCACCCGGTGAACTTCTTCAACCGCACCGTTCACGTTCGTGATCGGAACAGAGTATTAGTTCCATGCACGGTGCCTCTTCCTCACCCTTCGATCAGTTGCCACATGGTATCCGCCGCAAGCATGCGAGCTTCCATTATCAGAGACAACATCGAGGAGATGGGGGTGTGTTTTCTCCACGCCCTCCCGCCACATGACGCTTCATCGACGGTTCTCCACGCCCTCCCGCCACATGACGCTTCATCGACGGACTCACCTTCGGATCCACGGATCACCGAACTTCTCGACGCCTACAGCGACGTGTTCGAAGGCCCGCACGGAGTAGTACCGGATCGACCCATCCGCCACGAGATCATCCTCGAGGACGGGGCCGTACCTCCGSGCGGTTGCATCTACCGAATGAGCGAGGAAGAGTTAAGTGTGCTTCGGGCACAACTCGACGACCTTCTGGAGAAAGGCTGGATTCGGCCTAGCTCATCGCCATACGGTGCTCCTGTTCTCTTCGTCCAGAAGAAGAACAATGACCTGCAGTTGTGCATCGATTATCGCAAGCTCAACGCGCAGACGATCAGGAACGTCGGCCCTTTCCCACGCATCGACGACCTTCTCGAGCGATTGGGCGGCGCCCAGTTCTTCTCCAAGCTGGATCTCAAGTCAGGGTACCACCAACTCGAGATTCGCAAGGAGGACCGTTACAAGACCGCATTCAAGACACGGTATGGGCATTTCGAATGGTTGGTTATGCCATTTGGCCTTACGAATGGCCCGGCCACTTTCCAAGCGGCTATGACAACGGAGTTCCGATACATGCTGGATCGATACGTACTTATCTATCTCGACGACATCCTGATATACAGCTGGAGTTTGGAGGAGCTTGTGGAACACCTGCGCACCGTTTTGGAGCGGCTACGACAGGCCAAGTACAAAGCCAACCGCGACAAGTGTGAATTCGCGCGGCAAGAGCTGGAGTACTCGGGCCATTATGTGACGCCGCAAGGCATCCGTCCGCTCGCGGACAAGATCGAGGCCCTACGAGTATGGCCCGAGCCCACCAACACCACGGACGTTCGTTCATTCATGGGATTGGCGGGCTACTATCAGCGATTCATCACCGGATACTCCAGGATTGTTGCACCTATGACAAGGTTACAGTCGCCAAAGGTGCCATTCGTATTCGATGACGACGCACGTCGGTCATTCCAAGCACTTAAGACGACCATGCTCATGGCACCCGTCCTCAGCATCTATGACCCCACCTTGCCGACGAGAGTGACTACGGACGCTTCCGGCTATGGCATTGGGGCAGTCTTGGAACAGCACGACGACGACGACTGGCACCCTGTGGAGTATTTCAGCCACAAAGTGTCTCCCATCAACTCGATGGATGATGCAAGAAAGAAGGAGCTACTCGCGTTCGTCATGGCTCTCAAGCGATGGTGACACTTCCTCCTTGGGCGTCGTAGGTTCACATGGGTTACGGACAACAATCCATTGACCTACTACAAGATGGAGGATACGGTGAGCAGCACGATCGGACGATGGATGTACTTCATCGACCAGTTTGACTTCACACCGAAACATCTACCCGGCCTCTCAAATCGCGCAGCAGATGCACTCTCGCGAAGACCAGATCTTTGCGCTATGACACATCATGCCTTCGCATTCGACGAGGAGCTTCATCGACACTTCATCCGGGCATATGAGTCTGATCCGGACTTCGGCACGCTCTATGCACAGCTATCTTCGGATCACCCGCCGGCCAGCCATTACCGCATTGCCGACGGGTACTTGCTCCTCCACTCGAGAGGCAAGGACTTACTATGTGTCCCACTCGACCGTCGTCTTCGGACTCGCCTCCTCGGCGAGTATCATGATTCACGACTCGCCGGCCATTTCGGAGTCAACCGCACTATTGCACGGCTTCGAC